TCTTTATGATCTGTGGTCACTGGTTTATTGTTGTTGAACCATTTTAATGTGTGTGGACATCGTCCAGGTGAAGCCACAGAGCAGGTGAACGTCACTGTGTCATTTTCCACTCGCTGAGACACTGAGGACAAAACACAGAAACAAATGTTTGAATTTTTAATGGAACCAAAAACAAAACAAAAAACTAAACTCAAAACCTTCTGCAGCATAAAAACTGAAATCAACATGTTGGAGCCTAAACCCAGTTTGGACATTTTTTTCATGACTGAGATAATTAATCTTATTTAGTTTGATTTAATATTTACTTAAAATGTTGGATTTTTGGTTATTTTGGTCGTTCTTTGTGGGTAACAGGATTATTTGTTGATTATTTGTTGATTATTTGTTGATTATTTGTTGATTATTTGCTAAAAAAAAAAAAAAAAAAAAGATCTATTTACATTTTTCTTTCAATGAATTATTGTTAATGTGAATCATAAGTTAATACTTAAGTCATGTTTATTTTTTTATTTTGTGTCTGTGGCTCCTGATTTAAGGCGAGTGCAGGTGCATGATGGGACAGGAGCCTCCTGTCACCTGCAGATTAAAGTTCCATTTTTCTATGTTTTTATGTCTCCCAATTTTGTGAATCTTCAGTAAAGAGATTTAACTGCACTTGAGTCGTTCTCTTCTTGGTGGAACAAGATGCACAAAGAATCAACTCTGACTTCACAAATGTTTGTTACAAAACACAAGAACCAGAAACTGGACCTGAACAGAACCACGACTGTCAGAGCAGCTGAGAGCAAAAGAACTACTGTCCATTTAAAACATCTGTTTTACTATTTATTATTATTGTTCTGTTCAAATCAAATATCAAAACTTTTCACTCGTGTCACACGTGAGTTTAAAACGACGACAACTCTTAAAACAGATTAAAAATATTAAAAACACTCACAGGAGGCGACATACAGGAGAATATAGCTGGTTTCTTCTCCGTTCTGTTTACACTTGTATGATCCCCTCTGATCCTTTGTGACTCTTGGCAGGTGCAGGGAGCAGTTCGACAGGAGCGTCCCTGCACCTTCTCCTGTCGTCTGTCCTCGTCTGATCAGATCTGTGGTGGTTCTGAAGTCTTTTCTGTAGGTCCAGTCTGTGGATTCACACTGAGTTTGAGGAGGAACTTTTCCACACGACAAAACGACGTCTTCTTCTTCTTCTTTCACCGTCTGATAAATGAACTCTACGTTTGACACTGAAAAACAACACTGGGTTTAGTTAAACTTGTGGAACATGAGAGTGAAATGCATTTGTGCGTTGGCTCCGCCCTCCAGCTCAGTGTTTGTTGTTGTTTCCATGGAGACGAGCAGGTGTTGGACCCTCCTCTAGAAATGTTCCACACTGCAGCTTTAAGTTTAATCTCAGTATAAAAAGATGAAAACATCTTTCCACAAGTCCACAGGAGCCAAATACTGCAGTAAAGTTACTTCAAAATAATATTACTCAAGTACAAAGTAGTGATCCAAGAAAATACTCAAGTAAGAGTAAAATGTATTTAGTAAAAGTAGCACAAGTAAAAGAAACTTCAAGAGTCTGAAAACAACGACTGATGTAACTGAACAAAACTTCAAATACGACACAAAGTGAGAAACACAAACGAGACGAACACTTCAGTTTGTCACTTTAGACTCACTCACAGAGAAGAGGAAGCACAACTTTTACTCCAGTAAAAGTACTCTTACTCTGTACTGTGTAAGTACTGTTACTTCAATCAAAACATTAAGGAAATGTCCCTCTGTCCTTCACACTGTCCCAGAGCAGCAGACAGGGACTCACCTGACAGGAGCAGCAGACAGGGACTCACCTGGCAGGAGCAGCAGACAGGGACTCACCTGGCAGGAGCAGGAGTAGCAGGGACACCAGGCGGGTGGTGGATCTGAACATTTCTGCTCAAACTCAGAGTGTAAAAAAGTGAACCTCTGTGTGAACCGTCGTCTCCTTTTATTTGTTTCTTACTTCCTGTTTTTGGTCCCGTCTCGTTTTTCTGTTTTCATCTGAAACTCTGAAACTCTGAAACTCTGAAACTCTGAAACTCTGAAACTCTGAAACTCTGAAATCCACACGACACGATAAAACCACCAGATAAACTTTTCTGCTCAGAATCTAAAGGGACGACACTGGACGTTTGAGTCAGACTGAGACGTTTGTGTGGAGGCTGTGGATCTTCTGAGTCACTTCCTCTGATCTTTACACATAAAACTGACACAGAATCTGATTTAGAAACATTCTCCGTCCGTCCAAATCAGTTGATCTGCACACGTGTCCCAGAGACGAGACAAACACCAGCCAATCAGAGACGACTTTACTGACAACAAGTGAGACGCTGATTCATTCTAAAGTTAAACACACAAACACTGGACACGACCTCATTTATTTAAAATTATTTATTTATTTAGAATTTGGTGTTTTGGTTCAAGGACGATTGTCCAATCAGAAAGCAGCGCTGAAAAGTGAAATCCTGTTGGTTTAGATTTAAAATGTCTCTGATCTGAACCTTCTCTAAACTCCAGCACCTGCACTGGTCCTGACTCAGTGCTAGTTCAGCCTCTGCAGCTCAGTGCAGCTGTTTTCAGGTCAGAACAGAGTCAGTGTCTGTGTCGGTTCCTGCACCAGTTCCACTGGGAACCAAAGTTCTCACAGTGAACGAGCCGAGTTTAAAGTGTTTAAGTGAAACATGATGCTTCAGTGACAGAGGATTTACCTCCAAATAAAAACTCTGGAGACTCTGGAGACTCTGAGGTGTTTGTTGGAGCTTTTTAAGAGCTCACGGCTCCTTTGACCGTCCAGTGTCTGAATATTTGAACAGCACAACACAGTTTGGGCTTGAGATTTGAACACAGATAAAACTGCAGTTGTAATGTTCCACAGAGTCACTGTGTATTTTAAGAAAAGAGAATTAGAGTTTGAGAAACAATCTGAGTGGTGAAACATGTCTGTGACTGAGTAGATTTTTATCACTTTAACAGCTTCACACTTCAAGCGTCGCCCTTGAGCCGACCACACACTTCCCCTTTAATCCTGTCACGTATTTCACGGCCAAAAGAATCGTCTGTAAAATGTAATTCATCAAAAAATCATTTCACAAGTTCAGAGAAATCTCCAGGTCCACACACGACGTCAACACGAACCAAAGCTGCAGGAACCTCCACTCCTCATCAAACTTTTAAGACCAGAATTCACATTTTGTTCTGTTGGATCTTCAGAAGGTTCCAAGTCGAGCTTCAAAATGTAAAAAGAAGAAATGGGAGTGAGACAAGAAACACATTTGAGTAAATAATTTATTACATCAATTAAGACCAGAGCCTTTAAAAGAACAAAACTTTGTAAAAATGTGGATTCAGTGTGATTTTCTGTCAGGTCTCCACACGGTCACGACCTCCTGATGACAAAAACAAAAAAGTTTTCTGTCTTTAAACGCGGTCGGATTGTTGAGCTGCATGAGCCTCTCGCAGCTGCAGCTCGACGCACAAACACAGTCATTTTAAACTTCTGAAAAGATCCTGAGGGTCATGAGAAAAAAGTCAAGTGTTAGACCCAAAAAACTGTCACAGCCCTGAGCCGGAGGATCCAGTCGGCCGTCGGTCGACACACGGGTCGATCCTCGGCCCAAATGAAGCTGGTCACTGGTGCCGACTGCAGAACCATCACCAGACGACATCTGCCAGAGAAGAGTTTAAGAACTAAAAACGTCTTCAAAGATCTCGACTCCTTCAACGACTCAGAATGACCCGTCTGGAGTTTGTACAAGACCAAACATGAGACACTGAAATGTGGAAGAAAGTTTTATTGTCTGATGAGAAAAAATGTGACCTGAAGCACTGGACCTGTGACGATAACAGATTTAACTGGACGATTAATTGACCAAGAATTTATTGTGATAAACGAGAATATTGACATTTTGAGACCAATTTCAACTCATATAAAGACCATGGAATAAAAATGCAAATACACCATTTCAAAGATCAATAAACTTGACTTTCTAAAGAACATTTAACACAGGAACTGTAAGACAAACAAAAACAACAGAAAGAAAATAAATAAAACAGACGTGTGAACAGAAGAACAGCCTCATGTGTCTGATTTACAGCGAGGACTTGTTCACAAAAATACACTTGAATAAACCAATGTTGAACCAAACACAACCAAAACTATAAATAAACTGGATTATTAAGTCTCTCTAACAAAATGTTAGTCACTGACTTCCGCTGGAATATTGTGTCTTGTCTCTTGCTGCTGTGGCCTCGTCATTTTGGTCTTGAAGTTTTTGTATGAACTCGTGACACATGATCCTGTTTGGTTCGGAGTCGTGTCTGGTGTCGTGTCGGTGTTTTGTGGGATTTCAGTGGATTTCGAGCTCTTTCGGGGCTGGTTGTGTGGATCGGGTTTGGGTTTACGTCGGCTGCTCGGGTTTGAGACATTTCCTCATGTCACC